AGATTGGTCCAAGAGCTCAGTGTCCTTTCTCAGACCAGTGCAGCATGAATACAGTACTGACTTTCCCGTGTATTTTAACTGAAATCGTTCAAAGGATCAAATACTAGTACAAAAATATATCATCTAAATAGGGTGAGGATTTTTCCTTGAGATTTTGCAGTAGTGAAGAATACTACCCTTGTAAAATAACTCTGACCTGCACTTCTCAGGCAATTAATTTCCTTGAAATATAGACAAATATTTTATTCTTCAAACAATAATGACAGAATACACTTTAGCTTTGTCACCAGGATTTCTTTTTATTTAAAAGAACAACAGGAAATGGGAATGGGGGGAGGGGAAGAGTTCTATTAAAGGACAATTCACTGAAAGGTCTTTTAGCTGGCAATTGTCAGCACAGCTCAGGGCCAATGGATCAAATTTAACTCTCAAAAGTGCTGATGGTTGTATGAGTCTTCACAGTAGGGGCTGGCGCTTTGGGCCACTCAAGTTCAATTTTTGGTGTTACCATGGGATGTAGGAACTGGGATCTTGGTGAGCAAAGATTTGCTCCGTATTTGATGCACTGGGTAAAGTGGTATTCTTAAAATCACTAGCCTCCCAAGCAGCTAGTAAGCCAGCAGGAGGTTAGTAAGAAGAGAAAGTAATTGTCCTTTGTGCCTCCGAAAATAGCCAATATTAAAGGATCCTCTTATGTATTACCTGCGTTTCAATCTACACTTGCAGCTCAAAGGAAAAGAAAGAGGCTGGGGGAGACAGAAAATAAAGCTGTCAGAAATACTACAGGAGACCCTCCTCAGGCTGTCGTGAAGTGCATGGTCTCCTCACCCAGAAACCTGTGCAGCCAGAAAGGACGAGTGCTCTGTAAGCAATAAAAACCTTGTTCAGACAATGCACTTTACATACAGAGAGTGCTGTGCATGTCCCTTCACACTCTGAAGAGGCCTGGGGAAGGCACTGCAAGAGCGATCCTCAGACACTTATCCAGGATGGCCACGGTGCAGCCAGCACCGTGAGGACTCCACTGTACCTAAATCACTGGAAATCCACTTTACATGCAGCCTTTGCTCTCCACACAGTGCCCAAAGCAGGTGAAGTGCAGCACAATGCAAGCCTAACGCTCTGATCTTGACCTGAATGGTGTTATCTGTTAGCCAATTTCCCCAAATGAAGCAGATCTGGCTGCCAATTTCCCTAGTCCTGCTGTTTGGTCACAAAACTGAAAGGAAATTTACTTTGGGTCTGGGCACAATATGAAATAGGAAGAAAACTCTCCAAAGCCCCCAGCGCTTCAGTGCTGCTGGAAAGGAGCTCGCTCTTGTTTCAAGCCTCAATTCAAACCAAATTTGGGTCTGAACTTGACTATATAATGTATCCTAAGTGATTAACTGGACTGTATCTAATGTCTTGAAGATAAGGAGAATTTAAGCAAAACAGACTGCAAAAAAAACCCCCTGAACTTGCAGTACAGGAGACTTAAAGGCTTTACGAGGGCCATTCCAGTGGGGTCCAGATGCCCACCTCCTCACCAGCAACATTCCCACTGCCTTCTGTATGAGAACAGCTCTGCCTGCCCAGGGAACATGTGAGGATCTTCATGTCGAAAACAGGAAAAAGAAAACTTCTTTGCTAATAGGAAAAAAATCCTTGCAATAATACTAATCTATTTATAATGGTCAAAAAACATGACAGCTTACAACAGCGTCAGAGCAGTGCTTTGGCAATATTTTAGCATGCTGCTGTATTTTTAGAAGGACTGTTCATTTACTTTCTCCTAAATGCTGCAGAGTCCTTATTTTTCAACAAACGATCTATGTTTTTTTGGTGCATCATATGCCAACATCAGAGTGTTTTATCTCAGGGTAAGTAGGAACTGCAGGCAAAAACAGATCTCCTGCACACAGGCTGCTGTGCAGCAGCACTGCCGGGGATGCCAAATCCCAGCTCCTCCCGTGCTCTGTGCAGCGAGAGCTCTGCCACTTAGAAACCTCCCTGGAATGCTCAGCAACAGAAAACTGCTGGGTTTCTTCACCCTGAGCGTTGAGGAACTGTCCCACTGTAAACAGCAGGGCTGGCAGTTTAATGGTGTTGCTCAACCTAACTGGTTCTAGCAAGCAGCGTGTACGATAAGGGTGCAGGAAGATGTGTTTAAGCATTTTTATGTTTTTCTCAGCACAGGGTACTTTGCCATTTCAAAATTCATCTGCAAGCTACCTTCAGTGAAAAACTGTTCAGTCTCACCTGGGCCTACAAGATCATGACAACAGGATGGTCACAGTCCCCAAGAGCCGCTACAGCTGCAGCTCCAAGAGCTACAGACAAAATCCACAGGCTCCTACTTTCTTTCTAAAAAGCACATATGAGCTTCCCCTGCTTACAAAAACTTACACTAGGCTAAATTAAATACATGTGCACCCACATGTTAACTGAATTAACTTGAAGCCATCAATACATCTCAAATGTCCATCTGTTTACACAAGCCACTTGCAGCTTTCAAGTCTTGTGCTCCTCATAGTGTAACTCTCAACCAAAACAGTCTAAGTGCAAGCAGAAAGCTCTGCTGTGAGATTTCCATGCATAATGACCATGTGTTTATTGGGTTTTCATGTTCAAATCATGTCAGAATAGACATGCTATCCATTTGCAAGATGCAACACATTGTGCCAGCCTCTCCCTCTTCAGCTGCAGGAGCCTTGTAAAACAAAGCTGGCTCTAACCTGGACAGATATTATAGCTAAATTTAAAATATCTCCCTCTGCAATTCCAATTTGATAGCTGTAAACGGTACAGCTTGCAGGACAAAGAATTAATTTCTGAGGCAATCATGTATCTTCCAGGTCCAGGAAGGATTAAGAGCAGCAGATACAAGTAGCTGTTTCCAGGTAAGTTTCAAGTGATAAAACACTTTGATGAAAATCTTTGTACTAGCTCTTGGTAAGAAAAACTTTGTACTAGCTCCTCATAAGAAGTCGCCTTTTAATCTGAGTGGCTCACTTCAGCAAGGCTGTGCACAGCTAGCTGGATTTAAACTGGAAGGATGAAAGCCAGGACACATTATCCTACAGTTCTACAGCTGGAATCAAACTTCCTTTCCTAATCTGCACCAAACTTAATATTTCACTCTCTGACAGAGATGGAGTGAAATGCAGCTCTACTTAAAATAAAAAAAATCAACCAAAAAACATTTTCTCTCTAAATTTAGGATATTGCTGGCTTTCCTTTTAGAAGAGGTCAATGTTTTAGCAATGATAGCAAACGCTACCTGTGCCAGCATGTGATAGCAGCCTCTCAGACAAAACGGTTCTCATCAGACACCATCCTCCCGGACCTCCCTACTGTATTGCTCTTGTTGATGATGATGATTGCGATGCTGAACGCCTACAAATCTCCCACGTGCCTATTTCGTTGGCCTGTTGTGTTTTTGGGTTTAAAAAAAAAAAAAAAAAAAAAAAAAAAAAGCTCGAGGCCATTATTCATGAGCAGTAAGAAAACAAATCACTCTTAGACCTACTCCTCTTGCAGATTCCCACACTTATTACCCAAAATCCCACAGCTCGCTATTGGTTGTACCCTTGACCAAAGTACAGGGCTGAGGCAGCATGCCATCCCCTGGGAAAAGCCGATCACGTTCCTCCCGGCGAGCGGCTCCGCTTATTCCAGGATCTCAGTCGGGCTGGAATAAAGTCCCCTAACTTTTCAGAGAAGGCAGCGCTCGCTCCCAGCGCCAGCGCCTGGGGACCCGCGGGGCCGAGCCCTGCCGGGGAAGTCGCTTTCCCCCCCTGACCCGCTTTCTTTCCGAGGGGGAAAGAGCCGAAAGGAGCGAACCGAGAGCCCTCGGCACCCTTCCAAAGAGCCACCCCGCTGCTCGGGCAGAAGCGAGGAAGGCGCCCGGCAGAAACACGCAGCGATGCTCCCGCCGGTGCCCCCACCCCGGTGCCCGCCGTGCCCCCCGCTCGCCCCTGCGCGCTCCCCGGCAGCGGCGCGGCGGCTCGGCACTCACGCACGGAGAGGCAATTACAATAATTTAAAGCTTCCTGTCCGCCGGCATCCCGAGGGCTGAGCCATGCCCGGGCAGGGCGCGGAGCCGCCGCTGCCCCGCCACACCGCGGCCGGACCGCCCCCGCCCGCCCCCAGCCCCGGCGGCAGCGGAGCAGGAACGGGAGCGGGAGGAGGAGGAGGAGGAGGAGGAGGAGGAGGAGGAGGAAAGGGGGGGCGTGACAAGTTGTGCCAAACTTCGGGAGGTGTGCGAGCG